CTGTGTCACTAGGCGCCCGGCTGTGCACACACACACACCAGTGAGGCTGTGTCACTAGGCGCCCGGCTGTGCACACACACACACCAGTGAGGCTGGCACCCTGCCTGCCAAGTCCCCGTGGTGGTGCCACCCCGTGAGCACGCAGAGACCACGGGCGGCCACGCACCTTCACAGCAGTCCTGCCACAGCCGGAGGTCCACGCGGGGGATGTCCTTGCAGCTGCTGTAGCCATGTGGGAACTCCGCCACCCGAAACACGTCCGCCTGCACGCGGGTGATGTTGTCTGAGTTGTCGCACAGGATTCTGGCCAGTGACGTCTGCTTGATCTGCGTCAGCTGGGCGGGGGAGAACACCCCCGGGTTTTCGTACCACAGCCTGTGTGCCAGAAATGAGAGTGGCTCAGTCCCCCGAGCAGAGGCGGCAACCTCCGATGACAACGACTGAAAGACTCAGACATGGCTCAGCACTCCACCCAAGGAGAGAAAAAAGGAAGACCAGCACAGGAGCCTGTGACAGCCCTGCAGGCTGGAACACGCGAGTGGAAAGAGCACACTAGCCCCGCAGAATGGAACACGCCCCGGAGAGAGCGTGCTAGCCCTGTACCAGAACACACGCCTGGAGACGGTGAGCTAGCCCTGTACCAGAACACATGACTGGAGACGGTCAGCTAGCCCTGTACCAGAACACACGCCTGGAGACGGTGAGCTAGCCCTGTACCAGAACACACGCCTGGAGACGGTGAGCTAGCCCTGTACCAGAACACACGCCTGGAGATGGTGTGTTAGCCCTGTACCAGAACACACGCCCCGCAGAACACACGCCTGGAGACGGTGAGCTAGCCCTGTACCAGAACACACGCCTGGAGACGGTGAGCTAGCCCTGTACCAGAACACACGCCTGGAGATGGTGTGTTAGCCCTGTACCAGAACACACGCCCCGGAGAGACTGTGCTAGCCCTGTACCAGAACACATGCCTGGAGACGGTGAGCTAGCCCAGCAGAATGGAACACGCCCCGGAGAGACTGTGCCAGCCCCGCGGAATGGAACACGCCTGGAGATGGTGCTAGTCCTGCAGGGGCCGTACGTCCAGATCCTCAGGACATTAACTCATAGTGCTCACTGGCCTCAAGCGAAGCTGTCTCACCGAAGTTCAACGACTGAAGACGGGCTTCTCCCTGGGGTCTGGACGCGAGCGGCAGCTGGCACGGCAGCTGGCACGCAGCGGCACACTGGGCCAGGACAGGAAGGGCCTCTTCCACTCCTGTGCTCCCAGGCCCGGGAAGGGGGTGCAGGAGACCCTGCCGCACGCTGGTGCTTACCTGTCCCCATCCCGCAGACGCCGGAACTGTGTGCTGAGCAGGCACAGAAGGGTTGGCCCCAGGAGGCTGCCGGGAACCACATCCTCCACCATGAGGGCTGGGAACAGATCGATGTTGAGTGGTGAGCCATAGAGCCTGGGGTGAAAGAAGCACACACTTCCGTTTGGCATGTGATACAACACAGACCTTACTGTTCACACCGCTGCACGTTATTTACACACATTGCACCTTTGCTTGCTAGTCTTTTCTTCCTTTCTTCCTTTTGTGTGTGTGCTGGTTGTAGGACTTGAAAGGGCCTGGGCACTGTCCCTGGTCTTCTGTGCTCAAGGATAGCACTCTACCACTTGAACCAAAGCTCTACTTCCACCTTTTGGGTGTCTGAGATGATTCTCTGGGACTTTCCTGCCCAGGCTGGCTTCGAACCACGATACTCAAATCTCAGCCTCATGAGCTGCTGTGATGACAGGTATAAGCACTGGTGCCCAGCTATGCTTGTCATCTATAGTTTTTTTAAGGCCCTGTGGTCTCAGCTAAGAGGAGGGGCCCACGCCTGCAATCCTCCCTACTTGGAAGACCATTACCAAGAAGATCACAGTTCAAGGGCAGCCAAGTTAAAAAATCATGTGAGGGGGGCTGGGAAGGTGGCTCAGTGGTAGAGCGCTTGCCTTGCATGCATGAGGCCCTGGGTTCGATTCCTCAGCACCACATAAGCAAAAAGAAAAAAGGCAGAAGTGGCGCTGTGGCTCAAGTGGTAGAGCGCTAGCCTTGAGCTGAAGAGCAAAGGAACAGCGCCCAGGCCCCCCCCAAAAAAAATCATGTGAGGCTCCATCTCCAAAGGAAAGTCTGGGCCCCAGCTCCAATGGGAAGTATGAAACAGGAAGATCAAAGTCCAGGCTGAGCAAAAGGTTGAGACCTCAAAAATAACCAGAACAAAAAGGGTTAGGGGTATGGCGTAAGCAGTAAAATGCCTGCAAGAGGTCTGGAGTTCAAGCCCTCATCAGTACTACCAAAAGACGAAAAGTGGGGTGGGAGAAGGACTTACTCATCACAGGTTTTCCCAGTTTCCCGCTGCATGCATACCTCAGACACGCACACACTGAAAGACAAGGGAGCTGAGAAAACGCTGGGCTGCTTCCTCTCACGGCCTGGGGGAGGGGCACTCGGTGGGCCTGAGGGCCGACATGGGCCGCATCGCCCGGCTCTCACTTCATGAGTGGAGCAAGCGTTCTGCCTAAGTTGGCATCGCTCTGTTTTCTTCTGAGCATGGGGACTGCCCTTCCTTCCACTTACAAGATGCCACCGAAGTCACCTGCAAAGGAGCGGGAGTGCACGCCCCGCACCTCCCCCTTTCTGTCCTCTTTCTGTCCCCACCCCTCTGGGGTTCAAGAGCTGGAAGGTTCCGCTGTGAGAACGAGCCTGCAATGCACCCCAGGGACCCAATGCCAACCCCAAGACCCTGCAGGCCATGCTGCAGGACACAGTGCAGGAGCGGCCCAGCCCGGCCCAGCTCTCCAGCCCAGCCGCTTGAAGATGCAGACCTTCATGCGGCTGCCAGCACAGAAGACGGCTGGAAATGCTGCCTTCGGTGCTGGGATTTCATCGCCCTTCAGCCGTGCCCTCCGCGGCCTGTCATGGGTTAACAGAACAGATGTGCGAATATCCATCTCTGCCTCCACACAGAACCAGCCCAGGGCTGCACTGCGAAATCGTTTGGCAAAGAGAGGAACGACTAGTGAACTAATCTGTGGCAGTCATTACAAGAACAAAGCTAGGACATTTGTAAAATTAGCCAGCACGGAGAAAAACCCACACTGCACATGTGGAGGTGTGCGCCCCCCCTCCCCTGGTAATCTAATGCTGTGAGCTTCATGAACAGCAGAGCCCTGGAGGCCTAGAGATAGCTCACAGCAAAGCCCAGGAGGAGTCCTGAGGGCTCGGGGTTTGACGGTGTGGGGGCAGAGGGGCTCAGCTAAGGTCCCGAGGGACGCCAGGGAACACAGTTCAAGGCCACAAGGAAAGTTTTGGGTTTTTTTAATGACTAAGTGGAAAATAGCAGATCTTACATGTAAAATGGCCTTCACCTGGCTCAGAGATCAAAAACCAGGACAGTCATCAAGGGAGAATGAATGACTAATTGCTTTTATGTTTGTAAAAGACTCGGATGTAGACGACGTCATAACCAACATGAAACAACGTTGAGTGAGCTAAGGACAGAGGCCCTGGCGCGACCCCGCGCGACCATCACCTGCACTGAGAGCTGAAGCCTCATCAGACTCACAGGCGACAGAAGGTGGCTGCAGGTGCGGTACCCTCCCAGTGGGTCTGTCTGCTGGCCTGCTCTCCTCTCCTCGGGAGCAGCACTGTTCTTTGGGGGGTGAAGGCCCTGTGCCTAGGAGAGGCCTCCCCCAACCATCACCTCTGAGCAAACCAAAGCCAGAGCCTGGGATGCACAACTCTCATCTTCACCAAAACTTGCTGGCTCACAGAGCCATCTGAGCAGACAAGAGTGAGGCTGGTGGGCAAAACGGACCACACCTGGCTCAGGCCTAGCAACACAGCACTGTCCAGCGACACCGGACATACTGGGGCCTTCCGTCCAGGACACTGGGCACACATGGAGGCTTCCGTCCAGGACACTGGACACACACGGAGGCTTCCGTCCAGGACACTAAGCACCACACACAGCCCTTGTGTTCTGGTTTCCTGAAACTCACCTTTTCAGCTTCTCCCGAATCTCGGGGTTCTTGATCTCATTTTTCAGGTCCTCGAAGGTGTGGGCAGCCGACAGGTTGCAGTAGACCCGGTAGTCGTGATAGGGCGGGATGCCGTGATCGCGGCCCCGCTGGATGTTCATGGCGGCCAGGTCCAGGGCCACCGTCCGCGCCATGGAGAAGAGCCGCTCGGTGAGCTCCGTGTTCAGCAGCTGCGTGGGCACCCGCATCTTCCCGGGCACCCCGAACAGCCCCCTGAGGAGCGGGTCGATGCCGCCCTCGTTCACGATCCGGAATGGGGAGAAGAAGGCCTTGTGCAGGGGCACGTGGCCCTGCGGGATGGGCTGGAAGCTGGCGTCCAGCCGGTACAGCACGGGGTTGATCAGCGTGTGGCCGAACCGGAAGGCCGCGGTGGCGAAGGCGTTGACGATGCCGGCGTTGACCCCAGGGTCGTAGCCCCGGTACGCCCCGAGCATCTTCATGCCCACGGCGCCCAGCACCTTCGGCAGCCAGTGCTGGTAGGTGATGTGCTGCATCTCCGCGCCCACGATCTTCCGGGCCTCGTGGTAGATGGTGTCGCCGTCCCAGTGCGGGTTCAGCGCCAGCAGCCGGGCGGCGATGCGGTTGTGTTCCCGGAACCACAGCGTGTGCATGCTGGTCAGGCCCAGCTGCTCGTTGGCGCGGTGGTCGCCGGCCAGGAAGCAGGGGATGGGACTCTCGTTCTCGTCCCGCATGCACTCGGTGGGCGGCCCCGTGGCAAAGGGCAGCAGCGGCTTCCCGGACCTCTGCACGATGCCCTGCCGCAGCAGGCCCCGCTGGCTGGCCAGGTCGCGGACGCTGCGGGCCTCGTGGTCCGAACTGCCGTACACGTTGGAGGCGTCGATGTAGGAGGTGAGCTGGTTGATCTGCTCCCGGGGGTACACGGAGTTCATGAGCAGGGAGGTCATGCCGCTGCCACACACCGGGCTGGAGCGCACAAAGAACATGCAGCGGGCGCCGGCGCGCACGCGCGGGTCGTGCGGAGGGATCATGATGGAGAAGCAGGGCGGGTCGTTGGTGCACACGGCGCTGCAGTGCTGCCCGTCCGAGAAGCGCGCCTCGCTCAGGGCCACCACGGTCGAGTCCAGGTCGTGGTCCAGGAACTGGCCCCACTGCATGAGCATGTGCGTGAACTGCGTGTCGGGGGTCACGTCCTCTGAGCCCACCAGCGTGGTGGACACCAGGCGGGGCATGGGCAGCGCGTGCCCGTGGTAGTGGCGTCCGGCGTTGACGCCGCGCGGCGTGTTGAAGCCGTTCTCGTACACGGCCTTCAGCAGGCGCTCGAAGGCGGTCAGCGAGGCGCCCCACATCGGGTGCTGCAGGTTGTTGCACGTGCCGTCGTGCGTGCGGTACTTCTGGTGGAAGCACATGTCCGAGCAGTTGTTCACACGCCGGTGCGCGGTGCAGCCGGACAGATTGGCGATGAGGCTCAGGTAGGGCGGTGACACCAGGTCATTGTAGTGGTAACCTGTAACCAACGGGGCCGCTCAGCGCCCGCCCGCTCGCCCGCCACCCCGGAAGCCGCAGGGCGGACAGGGAAGCACGTGAAAAGGTCACTCGGCCTGGTCGAAGTGAGGACCCGAGCAGAGTGGTGGCTGCGTGCCCACACCATCCACCAGAGCTAGGGGCCCACCCTCTGGGTGCACGTCTTCAAAAACATCTTTCCAACAGTGCTCAGCTCTGCTTTCTGTGGGCACGAAGCCAGAGACTCGGCAAAGGCTTCCGTGCGATCTGCCCTGTGAGGACTGAGTGATCGCAGCCTGTGGGGCGGACAGACACTGCCTGGCCGCAAGGCCGGACCTGCCACAGACTCGGCAGGCTCTGCGTCCGAGCACCAGCCACTGACCTAAGACACGGCAGCCCGCGTGCGCTGGGCAGAACGGTGCAGACCTGCTCTGGGCGAGGGCTTGAAGCACAGGGCTTCTTGTGAAGCGCGCTTAGCATGGTGTGTGTGGGCTGAGCCTAGGGAGAGGAGCAAGGGCGGGCACTGACTTGTTCCGTTTAGGTCGACCATCAGGCCGTGCTGCACGTGCTCCTGGATAAGCTGCAGGGTCCTCTCGAATATCTCTCCCGCCCGGGCCTGTCCCACCGTGTAGGGGTCCCGGGGGTACCGGAACAGGGCCAGAAGGTCGTTAGGAGAACGTGGACGGCTGGCAGGAGTGGAGGGAAAGGAACAACAAAAGGAATTACCAGAGACAAAAGCCAGACTCCCAAAGTAGACTTATGTGAAGGAAATTTCTATGGCTACTTTTGACAACGTGATGAACCGTACCTTACTTATCCCAGGTGGAAGGCAAGCAAGACAGACAGACAGACAGACAAGAACCAAAGACACTAAAAACAAACCATTAATAAGTCAGGAGAGAAAGTCACAGGAATTGCATTTCAATTAAGGTGCAGAAAAACAGCTAGGATTGCCAACACAAACAAGACCCAATAGCAACTCTTAAAACATTTTGCTTTTTGCCCAATCGTTAGTGACAAGCCAAAGGAATGAGTTAAGCCTGCTGAAATGTTTTGGTTGTGAGTCACAGTTCAGATCCTATTTGGAAAGGATCCCTCCTGCTAGCACCTAGAAAAGCCACAGCCAACGCTGCCTGAAGGATTAACATGCAGTGTTTCCATCAGATAAAACAGGCAGAGGCCTTGAACTAGGACTGCACACCAGCCAACCCTCACCCAGCCCGGGCCCGACCCGGGCCCGCCTACCCGTCAAACAGGTGCGTCCGCGTTGAGTTTATGGCTCGGTCCACGGTCGTGATGGCTTCCACAATAGAGGTAGCAACAAACGGGTCGCCGTTCCGACTGACATCAGGAACTAGGAAAACGGGCCCACGTAAGCTGCCACGTCTAGACACGCCTTCATCTGGACAGACCGTGCTTTTCCCTCAGCTATTCCTCCTTTTCAAACCAACGCTGAAATGACTGCATCACAAATTCTACTAGAATTTGTCTTCCGACAGTGAGGAGGCTGCCACAGCCCAGGAAGACAGGAAGCGGGCGTCACGGGCTCCCCTTGGGATCCAGCTGGTGGTGAACGTGGAGGAGGCTTCCTCTCAAGGACCCATGTTCTCCCGGAGCCCAACCTTCTCCAACGCTGCCCCTCACCCCTCAGGACGTGTCCTGCCATCTGGCTGTCACAGCCACCACCCCACATCTGCACAGGGCGCGACTCTCCTCTCTGCAGACCACGTGCATTGCACACCGGGCCAAGCAACACCTCACACCATTCCACAGGACAGACACCACACAGACACACCGCACGTCCCTCGACCCACCCCAAGTCACACCACCCCACACGCTCACCCCAAGGGTGCACTCTGTCCCCTCTCCTCAATACTATTGTCGGCCTCAGCCACCAACCACATAACTACATTCCAACCACGTTTCATCCCCCACCGTAGCCCCCACCTCGGGCAGCTGGTGGTGATGCTTTTCCTCCAGGCCCCCACAGCCATGCCGGGTATGGGCACAGTTCAGAGCGACCACAGCGCAGGGCTGCCATGCTCGGCCTCCTGTTGGGTCGGGCCTCCTCCACCCAGAATGCACTCCTCACGTGGACTCCGGTACAACTGTCTCCCCATCTTTCTCCCTCCTTTCCTCCCCGTCTCCTTTCTTTCCCGCTTTCCTGTGGCTAATAGAATCACTTGATTTGCCACAATAATCCTTGCGCTCTGAGGCCATCTTTTCACAGATTAATTTTAGTCTTTTTGCTCACCCCTACCCCAAACCCCCCAGCCCACACCAACTGCTAACTGCTGGAATAGGGTAGGCGCACAGGCCGGTCTCCGTGTACCTGACAGCGCCCTCCCCTTTACTTGACAGACAGCCCCCCTCCCCCTCCTATGTACCTGACAGGCCCCCCCACCTCCGTGTACCTGACAGCGCCCCCCCTGTACGTGACAGACAGCCCCCCATCTGTGTACCTGACAGACAGCCCCCCTCCCCTCCTATGTAACTGATAGGCCTCTCCCCCCTATGTACCTGACAGACAGGCCCCTCGCCCCTATGTACCTGATAGACAGCCCCCTCCCCTGTGTACCTGACAGACAGGCCCCTCCCCTGTGTATCTGATAGGCCCCTCCCCCC